TGCCTGGACGACTGGTCTCCCGCACAGACGTGAGGGGTGCCCTTGGACAAGAGAGACAAGCAACAGAAATGCCGCGTGCTGCACCGCACGCTGGGGGCTTGGGGAATGTCCTTTCTGATCCCCACAGCACCTGTGTTACATATGTGGAAACTGAGGCTCAGGGAGGTGGAGCTGAGTCTGGGGTGTGGGCGAGTCCACATCTGTTTGGCTGCTCTCTCCAGTTACAATGGGGGAGGTCAAAGGAGCGAAGGATTATGACCCTATTAGCAGGGTTATGACCCCACAGTTGCTGGGTGCCCTTGGATAAGCCTCTTTGCTCTCTGGACCTGGGTTTACTCACCAAGACAACGAGGGTCCCAGCTCCGCCCTGCCTAAGTTAGAGCATCGCGTGGGGCGCTGGGTGAGAAGGGGCTTTGCAGTGTGATCTGAAGGGGAGACAGCTTGAGGATGTCGTTTGCTCCATCACTGTCTCTCTCTTCCCTCCCTCCCTCCTGTCCCAGACACTAACCAAGCACCTGCTCTGAACCGGGTTCAGACCTGGCGGAGGCTGTGGCTGAGAACACCTGGCCCTCGGAGCTGCCTGCACGCGAATCCCGGTCCTGTCCCTCACTGGCTTGTCTCTTCCCTCCTGGTTTCATCCTGCCACTGGCCACCTCCCGGGTTGTTGTGAAGATTCAAGTTCAATGACACTAGGGAGGGGGAGCATGAGCTCTGAACGATGCTCTCCCTCCTTTCCTGGGCGATCACATGCCCACAGGCAGGACCCCTGCCCTCAGAGCTCGAGCCCAGGTGCCACAGATGAGGCACACCCCAATCACTGTGGAGCTGTTGCCCAGTCTGACCAGGCCGCTGGTGCTCCGGCCCAGGGCAGGTACAGGGAGGATGCTGGGGAAGCCAGTGGGGGAGGGAGAGGCCATAGCAACAGGCGCATCTGGACTTGATCCTGGAGCAACAAGGACCTGAGACCAAGAACACTTGGGGCATGTGCTTAAGGGCGAGCCTGGAGCCCCCACAGGCTGGGATGGGGGGTGAGACTTTATTTGTCCGGCAGTGGGGAGCCAAGACTATTCTTGAGTCGGGGAGGGGGAGGCCCGCTGCTCCTCTCTGTCGTGGGGGAAGCCTGAGAAATGGGAAAGCCATGGAGGAAATCTTCATGTTTATACCTTTTAAAGCCACTTCCCGGAGTGGGCAGAGGGACAGGGGGTGTCTGAGCACCATGGAGACCGCCCCCAGCGCAGCCGGGTCTGTGGGGCCGGAGGACTGCAAGGCTGTCCAGGGAGCCCCCTCCATTGGGAGGAGCCCGCCTGGGGCCTGGGAGGCAGCTGGCACCTTCCAAGCCTGCAATTAGCAGGCAAAGGAGCCGGGTGGCAGCAGGGTGAGGGGAGGCTGGGGGCGGCGGGCTGAGAGCTGCAGCTGGTTCCTGGGTGCTGCCTCTGCCTCCAACTCCCTCACCTACTGCCCCAGAGGGGTGCCCAGGGTGGCTGGTGGGTCCCCAGGCAGGCAAGGCACTGGGGTCTTGGGAGGGGATGCAGAGCATAGGGAAAGCCAGAAAAATAGTACTAACAGTAAAATGTGGGTTTGGACAACTCAGCTGCTATTGTCCTCAGTTTACAGATCAGGAAATGAAAGCCCAGAGAGGGGCAGGAGCTTCCCAGAAGACACACAGCCAATCAGAAAGCAGTTGGGTCTAGAAGCCAAGTTTGTCTGGAGGCCTGGGGTGTGCGGAGCTCGCTCCTGGGCACGGATTTCAAGGCAGGGAAGCCTAGGGGCTGCCTGGTGGAGTCAGGCTGGGTAAAAACGGCCTCGGCTGGAGAGTGAGGACGCCAACAGGCTCCAGGGCCCCAGCCTCATGCTGCAGGGGCAGGAGGGGCTGGGTGGAGCAGTGTCTGGTTCTCCAGCCTGTCCGGGCACTCCCGGCCTGTGAGGGGAGGCCCTGGCACTGCTGCCCCTGGGCTGCTGTGGATTTTAGTACCTGGCCCATCTGCCTTGGGAGGCTGCGTAGCTGACCAGCACAAAACCCCAACTAGGACCAGTCCTGCAGATATTGAGGTGGGGCTGGACTTTCAGGGTGGGGTGGGGGGCGGTAGCTCTGGCTTCAACCTTCTATGATCCCATCCATCATCCATGCATCCATCTTTCCCTCCTTTAAAGATGCCCATTAGGCCCAGGGCACTGTGCTGGGTGCTGGAAGAATTCTTTGCCCTCCAGGAGCATCTGGGGGGCGGTGGGAAAAGCAGATAAGTACACAACCCACTAACACTCTAAGGACGAACCCAGTAAGCTGAGCGCTGAAGGGTGGTGGGCCTTTGATGGGGGAGGGGCAGTTCTGGGTGGCAGCAAGGGAGTTTACCACGGCGGCAGCTGCAGGGTCTGTGGAGTGGGGTGGGGTGGGGTGGGGCTGCAGAGGGAGGCAGGGGCCGCACCAGATGGGGCCTTGCCTTGGAGGGCCGTCACGATCAGGAGAGTGGGCTCTGGCCTCAGACTGACTGACCAGGAAGGCTGGTGTCACCACTAACCAGCGGTGTGGCCTTGGCCTAGCTACTTGCTCCCTCTGGGCCTCTGCTCCTCGGCATCAAGTGAGACACTGATGGCAGTGCCTGCCTCACAGGGCTATGAAGCACACGGTGTGGCTCGATACACGCTAAGACTTCTTGGCAGTCACCCTGTGGTGATGAGGAGCCTGCAAGTGACATGCGTACCTAGCCAGTGATGGAGAGACTTCGGGCCAGCGCCTCCCTCTCAGTCACTGTTTCCTCTCCTGGCCAGCGAGACTGGACTAGGCCAGAGGACAAGCACTCGCATGCCCCAGGGGCCAGGCAGTAACATAACTGAGGTGGGGGCAGGGCAAAGCCGTAAGGAGCAGTGGGGAGTGTGGCCCCCAGGGGCGCCTGAGACCCACTCCAGGGAGCACCTGCCTCTCAGCCCGTGGCCATGCGGGACTGTGAGCCCAGTGTGGTCCCAGGTACCGATTTCTCAAGAGAAGGAAATGCACATTTTTATGAGCAAACTTCCCATGGCTAATATTAGCAATGCGTTAATATAGTTTCTAAAGCATCACACGAGCCAAAGCTGACGCTTCTATTGGCACTTGCTGCTGCCACCACTGGTGACTTTTGCTGCAGGTAAACAGGAACCATGGAAGGGCTGTGAGCATGGAGGGAATGCACATTCCAGGCCCAGAGAACCTTCCAGCCCTGTGTCTGCGGTGTGCTCCCCTCCTGAGACCCCAGCTTTCCCTACAACGGAGGGGGAGGCCGGACCCTCTCTCATGGACGTTCCCAGGAGCCCGTCCGCCCGTAGACAGGGCTGTCCTGGGGCCCCAGCTCAGCGCTATCTCGCCAGAGGTGCCACGGAGTCTGGAGGAGCCGCCTCACCGGACAGGGCCTGCTCTGTGTCTGGGAATGGCAGGTCTGCCCCGGGGCCTGGGGAGTGGCTCTCAGGGCTGCTGTCAGTGAGAGCCTGGCTCCTGGCTCCTGGGGTCAAAGGGCAGCACTTTCAGCCTCTTCAGGGGCCAATTTCCTGTTTGGGAGAGAAAACAGAAGATCCCTGGCAGGAAACGGTCCTCTTCCTGCAGCCCCTTTTCCGCTGGCCCTGGCTTATGCGGAAAGACCCTACAGGGGGGATCCCCATGGCCGGGTCCTGCCCACTCCCTCCTACGCCCTCAGAGCCCAGGAGGGACCTGGGCCTCTTTGCCACAACAGCAAACCCCACCTCACTAGCACCATTAGTTTAGGCTTCACAACAGGTAAAAATTTCAGTGCCTGTATTTATTACTCCCCCGCCCCCAGGGCTCCTGGGCCTGCCTCTCCCCTCTTCTCAGCACCCAGAGCTCTGGGCACCCAGTACTGTGGCCTCGGGGGGCCCTCATGACTGGACAACAAGAGAAAAAGTCATCAGTGCAGCTCCCAGGCTGCAGGGGGCCCCTGTTCAGAGCCCCAGCTGCTCCTTGCACACCTCTGAACACAGGGAACTCACCACCTTATGCAGGCTAGAATAACTTGGACAGTGCCGCCTCCTGCAGAGAGCAGGCCTTGGAGCTGAGAATTCATCAACTAAACTACCGAAAATTAAATTTACCTGTGATTTCACTACCCAGAGCAGGGCTAGGGGAAAGATAAGAGGATTTATTATTTATTGTGTTGACGCCAACCTCTGGGTAAACTCCCACCAGTCCCCTGAACTTCAGCCCTTATGGCAGCACCCAGCTGGCAAATCTCTCCCCTCCAGGGCATACTTTCAAGTATTTCAATAATACCTAATCTTTACTGAGCTCCAGATGAACTCAACTAATTCTCGTGATGGCTCTACGAGACAGCTAATTTACAGATGGAGAAATGGGCTCAGAGAGGGCAAGTAACTTCTCCAAGGTTGCACAGCCAGTAAGGGGCAGAGCAGAGATCTGAACCCATCCGGAGCCAGAACTGAAGTCTCTTCTTCTCCAGATTAGACATGCACGTGTCTTCTCCCTCCCCTCATAGGAGCTGGATTCCAGACCATTCAGCAGCTCAGATGTTCATTCATTCATTCTTCCTCACATTCATTCATTTATTGTCACTTGACATTCCTGAGCTCAGGTTCTGTGCCAGGTGCAGGCTGATGCTGTCTGTCCCCCACCCCCCTGCCCACATCTGCCACTCTCAGGCCTCCGCCCAGAGAACCTGAACTCCTTTTATTACAAAAGACTGGGTTTATCACATTGTACTATGAACAGCTCCTGCCCGACCCCCAAGGCCCAGAGAAGCAGCCTGGGTCGGAGCCCCACCAGCCCTCCCTTGACACCCCCCTTCCCCTGCACAAAGGTCTCGGGTGGGTGGGGCACCTAGACGGGGCCTTGGAGTGGTCCCGGGGTTTATGACACCAAACGGGGCCAAGGACCCCGGGCATATACATACAATATACATATAAAACACAGGCCGTGGCTTCCCTTCCACGGGGCGTTGGTAGGTGGGACCACGGATGCGCACCGTGGGAGAGAAGGCAGTGGGCCGTGGCCTGGGGCGGCGTCTGCTCCCAGAGCGAGCCCAGGCAGTTGCGTCAGTTCGAGTGGCCGGTCAGCCGGGCACAGCCCTAGGAGCTCTAGGCCACCTGGATCTGCAGGTCCTCGTCCTCGTCCAGGTCGCTGGCTCCGTCCCCAGCCTCCTCGGCGCCAAAGCGGGCACTGCGGATCTTCCCGAAGAGGGGGGCGTTCTGCTGCTGCCGGCGGAGCCTGTGGCGGGGACAGGAGGTACTGACAGCAGCTACACCTTCCCTGACACCTCCCCGCTGCCAGGTTCTAGACCGGACCTCTGACACGCATTACCTCATCTCACATCATCCCCCCAGAAGCCTCTGAAACGAGGGAGGTGCTGTCACCCCCATTTTACAGACAAGGAAACTGAGGCACAAAGCAGTTGAGTAATTGCCCGAAGTCCCACAGACAGCGCGGAGTGGGGCTGGGCTCTGGCCTGAAGCCGCTGGCTCCGGAGTGGGCCGGGGCTGAGAGGTGAAGCCGCTGGCTCAAGGTCCAGCTGCTGGGATTCGAACCCAAGCTAGGCTCCAAAGATCACAGGGAGAGGGTTTGAGGGCGGGGGTTCTGAGTCCCCTTTACCCCCACTGTCAGTGAGACAGGGCTCCGCCCTGCCCCACATTAAAATTCCTAAAGCTGAAATTTAGAGGTGAACTTGCCTCGAAGAAGGGCTGGGGGAGGAAATGCCCATCCCCCAGCTGGGCGGCCCTGGTTGCACCTTACTGGAAGGCATGAATTATTAACACGGCAGGGAGGGGCCCAGGCGGGGGCCTCCATTACTGCGCTGTGATTTAGTGAGCTGTCCCCGGAACATTAAAGCACAAAAAGTTGGGAAATAAAAAGACGCAGCAGACCTGGAGCCCCGCCCGCCAGCCCTGATGGAGGCCCTTGAGAGGCAGGGCCTGCCTGCCCATTGCGGGAGTTTATGGCTCCCGAAGAATGCGGCCAAGACTGCGGGAAAGCCCCGAGGCTGGGCGGCCTTTGGAGGGGTGTGTGCTGGGAGGGCGGAGTGGGCAGAGCTGGCCAGACACCGAGGCTGACTTGGACTCATGCCCGGGGCCCTGCACAACGCTTTATAAGACAACATCCCAGGCAGATGGGGAAACTGAGGCTCGGCTGGCCATGTCACACAGCTGTCAGGTCTGGCTCCACAGCCTGTACTCTTAGCGGTCACGGAAACTCAGCAGAGAGTCCATGCTCAGTAAATAAGGGCGCAGATGGCCAGGGGGCGATCCGGCCTGACTGCCCACCAGCTGTGTGGCTGTGGAAGGCTTACCCTCTTGTACCTTACTTTCCTCATCTGCCAGACCCCTAGAAAAAATCTCTTTCCCTTCCCACGTCTCACAGGAGCATGATTCTTACAGCAGAATATCTGACCCAAATATTAGCTCCCAGCCAGGCGTGGTGGTAACAGCAGCAGAAGCCGACGGTCACTCAGCATTTATTATGTGCCAGGTTCTTTTATAAGCAGAGATCAGCTCATTTAATTCTCACTGCGACCAAGAGGGGAGAACTGCTACCATCCCATTGCACAGATGAGGAAACTCACCCAGGGAGGGGAAGTGGCCCACGACCACACAGCCACTAAGGGCAGAGCCAGGATTCCCGCCACCCAGGCGGCCTGGCTGCAAAGCCGGGCTCCCTCTATTCCGTGACATAAGAGGGTGCAAGGAGGGCCCAAGCCCAGGGCCTGGCACGGGAAGAGCCGGTCAGGGCTCTGGTTACGACGCCCCTGGGGTGGGGGGCTGTGAAGGGGCAGGGGCTTGGACTTGATGTTCTCTGACATTTCACAGCTCTAAGGGGAGCCAGGGACAGGGTGTGATTCACAGGACGTTGGGATGGGGGGGGCAGGAGAGGACGCAGAGTGTGCGGGGTGGGTTCCCCAGAGACCCCCCAGGCCTCACTGTGGCTGACGACTCCTGTCTGCAGCTGAGGGGGTCTGGCCTGCCATCATGGCTCCCTGCCCTCCAGTCCCTCAGATCCCAGCTGGCCTGGGACTGCCCCAGCCCGGGACCGGGGGGCTGCTTGCTCTTCTTGTTAACGACTCACAGACCCACTGGCCCTACCCACTGCCCTGCCTTGAGCCTGACCTTCCTTCCCTCTCGCCACCCGCCCACCTGCCGGAGGAGACAATTGCAGGGCTCCCAGCTGGGCCGGCTTCCTGCGCTCCCCGTCCCTGGCTTCCTGGCCCTGGCCCTTCCTGCCTGGAGGGGACAGGATTCTGGCCCCAGGGAGCCCGGATGCTTCCTTCTCTGTCTCCCCCTCTAGCCTGAGTTTGGGGCTCCAACCCTGACCCGGTGGCTTCCCTCTGCGGCAAGTCTCTCTGCCCTGTTTCTGTGCCCTGGCCGGGAATCCTCTCCCCCACCGGGGGCTGCACGCGGGGGCCCACCTGGACTGCAGATGCTCCAGCTGCACCTGCAGGTTCTCGCTCTGCTCCGTCTGCTCGTCCAGCGACCGCTGCAGCTTGCGTGCCTGGTTTTGGGCCTCGTCCAGCTGGGGGTGAGCATGGCCAAGAGCATGCGAATGACCTTGGGCTGGGCTGGGCTGGGCCGGCCTCGCCTGCCATCCGCCTAGGACCAGCCCCTCCTGCCATTCCTCTGCGGGAACATCCTTCCCCGAGAGCAATCCCTGTCTCTCCCGTGAGGCCTAGACCAAGGCCCACCTCCTCCAGGGAAGCATCCTTTTTCCTCCTCTCCATTCCCATTGCCCCTCGCTTCCCAATCTACGCATCCTCCAATGCCCCAAGCTACTGATCCGTCCATCAACCCACCCACCCATCTATCCCTATCAGTCTGTCCATCTGACCATTCAGCCACAGAAATATCCATGCGCCCATGGAAACACCACCTACCCATTCAGCATTCATTAATCTATTCAGCTACCCATTCCCCTCATTCTATCCACGTGTCCTTCCACTCTTCCAGATACACCTACCTTCCCATCTAGCCTCCTGTCCTGTTCCCCTCTGTCCATTCATTCTTCTACCCACTGGTCTAGTCAGTTATCTATCCATCCTTCCACTGTCCCCTCAGTCATCCACCTTTCCATACAGCCATATACTCATCCATCCAATCACCTACCCATCCATCCATCCATCCATCCACCCACCCACCCATCCTTCCACCTATCCACTCATCCACCTCTCTCCATCCATCCATCCATCCACCCCCCCACCCACCCATCCTTCTACCTATCCACTCATCCACCTCTCTCCATCCATCCATCCACCACCCACCCATCCTTCCACCTATCCACTCATCCACCTCTGTCCATCCATCCATCCATCCA